GGGAGCGCGGGGAGGCTGGGGCACAGGAGGCAGGGAGCGCGGGGAGGCTGGGGCACAGGAGGTAGGGGAGGCTGGGGCACAGGAGGCTGGGAGCGCGGGGAGGCTGGGGCACAGGAGGCAGGGAGGCTGGGAGGCTGGGGCACAGGAGGTAGGGGAGCGTGGGGAGGCTGGGGCACAGGAGGTAGGGGAGGCTGGGAGGCTGGGGCACAGGAGGTAGGGGAGCGCGGGGAGGCTGGGGCACAGGAGGCAGGGAGTCTGGGGCACCGGAGGCAGGGAGCGCGGGGAGGCTGGGGCACAGGAGGCTGGGAGCGCAGGGAGGCTGGGGCACAGGAGGCTGGGAGCGCGGGGAGGCTGGGGCACAGGAGGCAGGGAGCGCGGGGAGGCTGGGGCACAGGAGGCAGGGAGCGCAGGGAGCGCGGGGAAGCTGGGGCACCGGAGGTAGGGGAGGGCGGGGAGGCTGGGGCACAGGAGGTAGGGGAGCGCGGGGAGGCTGGGGCACAGGAGGCAGGGAGCGCGGGGAGGCTGGGGCACAGGAGGCTGGGAGTGCGGGGAGGCTGGGGCACAGGAGGTAGGGGAGCGCGGGGAGGCTGGGGCACAGGAGGCCGGGAGCGCAGGGAGGCTGGGGCAGCAGACAGAACATTGGGGTCGGGGTACACTCACAGGAGTCTCTGTCTCTGGGCTGCACTCATGCGGCTGAGCTCTGCTGACCTAGGCTTGCGGGTCTCCCTGCTGAGGACGAGAGGCCAAGTCAGCTGGACACCCCACTTCACCCGAAAACCCAACAGCGGGCGTGGCTCTCCCGTGGGGACCCCAGCACAAGTCAGGACTCTGTGCGGCGCCCTGGCTGTGGAGGCTGAGCTGGGCATCTGCAAAGCATGGTGTCTGGAGAGAGGATGAGGAGCCTCAGGAAGGGGGCGCCTCCCAGCCCTCCCCCGCTGCTGAGCACACGGTGCCACAGCCCCGGTGGCACCTCCTGTCCTTGCTTCCATTCGGACAGCACCTGCTTTGTTGTGTGACCCCGAGATCCCAGAGCCCCCGGGTCACATGGAGGGACCTGCCAGGCGGGGCACCGCCTGACCGCCAGACCGGGTGCGTGTCTCCATGACTCCCTGGGGCTTCCACACCACCTGGCTGAGCACTGAGTGCCAGGCAGCGGTCTCTGGGCCGTGCCAGACCACTCCCACAACTTGTCAGGGGACTGCAGCCAGGGGTGGAAAGTCGGCCGCCCGCCTGGCCCCGGGGCACAGAGGGCTCCCCTCCTGGAGAGCAGCTGGCCCCATGGGAGAGCCTTCCACGGCCCCACCAACCCGGAGCCAACACCTCCACTGAAGCTCCCAAGAGGCCTCATCCCTTCCCCGGGCCCTGCGCTGGGAGTGACACACATGTCTTCTCAGACAGCGCTACGATGGCTTGCTGCCCACGGGGGGCCTGGTGGCCTGGGAAAGGCCCCCCCCACCTCAGCCTGCCTGGCCCATGCCCGCCGCCTTCAGAAACCCAGAGACCACCACCGAGCGACCCCCGGGCCACACGGACCGTCGCCCAGGGTCGCTCTCTGGGTGGGGTGTCGCGTGCTGAAGGCCTAGCGTGGGCTTCACACCCCATCCACTGGAAGCAGTCACAGCCCACTGGGCAGGGGGCCGTCCACCACCCAGAGAACCGAACCTCCCACTGACCAGCACAGGATGGAGCCCAGGGACGGTGTCGGGGACACCATGGGTGGCAGTGGAGGGCTCTGTGGACGCATGCTGGTCAGCTCAGACCTTGGGCTTCCGGTCACTGGCCACGCCTCGGGCCTGGAGACGGCAAGCTGAGTGGTGGGCTGGACCGCAGGCGGTGCACGCCTCGGCATTGGAGCCGGAGACACGGGTGAAGAAATACATTGTAAACGTGTGTGAAGCTGACAAGGAACCTTCCAGGTGAATAAGGACGCTAAAAACCCCAAAACCAGGTAAGCGGAGTCTCAGGCCCCCTCCGGCGGCCCTCCTGCCCTGAGAAGCACGCAGGCCGCGGGGAAGGGCGGCCCCAGGCGGGACGCACCTGGGCTTCGTCCACAGGGAGCCCGGCCTGGGGATGGGCAGCATGGAGTGCAGAGCGAGGGCAGAGCCCCCGGCTGCGGCTCTCAGCGTGGGCAGCTCTGCCCAGACCCCGTGCACGGCCCGTGCCCCCTTCCTCCCAGGTTTTAACCCGTGCCCTCTGCGTACAAACAGCAGACAAGTCCTTCAAGAGAGCTGTTAGGAGGCGCTCAGAGTGGCCAAGGGCCGCACCCACAGTGACGCCACGCGGCCCGAGCGCTGCATGACACTGGCAGCCCCACGGGGACCAGTGCCCAGCTCCAGACACTGCTGTCCGGGCAAGCCAGGGCTCCCCCTGAGAAAGGGCCGCTTCCAGGACTGTCTAGGAGCTTCCCAAGGTGAGCCCAGAGCACCTGCCGCCTGCAAAGTGAGAGGAGGCCGCTCTTCAGAGCCACCCAGGAGCAACGCAAGCAGCTGCCAGCGGCCCAGGCGGGACAGCTTCACCAGCAAAATAAAGTAATGCTGGATGACAGCCCAAAGCATCTTTAAATAAACGTCACAGACTCCCGAGGCTTAAATGAACCACTGTAAATAAACAGAGCTCCCGCTCCAGCGGGATCCCACAGCACCTCTGCAGTGAGGTGGGTGGGTGGGTGGGTCTGTCTGAGGAAGGGCGGCCTGGCTCCCTCCCCTAGTGGTGGGCCTGCAGGGCCCCTTCCTTCCAGACAGCATGGAGGCCAGGAACGTTGCAGAGCGCGGTGACCACGTCTCCACTCGGTGTAGGGCAGCCTCCAGAGCGCAAGCTGGCCAGCGGCATGTGTGTACCTGGTACAGTGTCATGAAAACGGAGCCCGGTCCCTGTGACATTACTCCTGCAAGCTCTGCATCCTCCAAAAGACATCCTGAACCCGCGTCTGTGGAGGGACGGCTGCATGGGTGCAGGACTCGGGCAGGGCCCGGTGGTTGGTGAATGGAATCCTGGGAAAGTCCCCAAAATACTATCTCAAAGCAAGCTGTGTGTACCCATGATGCCAGCAGCATGTACCTACGCAGTACAGGAGGACCGCAGTCCAAAACTGGCCGGGCAAAAGCATGAGACCCTATCTGGAGAATAAAACAGTAAAACGGACTGAACATGTAGATAAGGCAACAGAGCGTGTGTCTAGCCACCAGTTGACCTTGAGTTCAAATCCTAGTACTGTCAAAAAAAAAAAAAATAAGCAGCTAGATTCAGAAAAGTACTGAGATGGTGGTGGTTCAAAGCCAGCCTGAGCAAAAGGCTTCCAAGACCCTATCCCAATCGATAAAAGCTGGATCCTGTGGTCCACACCTGCCACCTCAGCCACAAGGAGAGTATACGGGATCCAGAATGTTCTGAGCATACACGTAAGACCTTATCCAAGACAGAACGGCCTGCAGGTGTGTCTTGAGTGGTACAGCACCTAGCTAGTAAGCCTGAGGCTCACAGTTCAAACCCAATACTGCCAAAACAAAGTTAAACACAACTGGAGCAGAACATGGAGAGTGTAAGCAACTCCAGGTAGAGGGCTTGGGGAGACGGGGGCAGCGTTACATGCCTGGGAGGAGCTGGGTGAGGCCGGGAGTCCAGGGGTTCTGAGGGGGGTCCTGGGTCGAGAGGACACTAGGAAACTGAAGAAATGTGACGTGTGGGCTTTCATTAGTTATGGCTTTCAATCTGTGATTACTTACGGGTGGGCACTGTCCCCTAACGGTGCAGACGTACCACACTAATGTACCACATTTCTGCCACTTTCCGGTAAATCTAAACCTGCTCTCTCGTGACGTGTGCCAGCCAGCTGTCCAGAGAGGCCACACTGTGGCTCGGGCGTCCTGAGGCTTTAGGGACACTGAGGCCTTGGGGGTCGGTGGAGCCTTTCCACCCAGGAACCAAAACCCCAGCGCAGCCATGGCGGCCGGCACATTCCTCTGTTTGTGCAGCCCCCTCCCTCCCTCCTGCGCGCCCTGAGCACATTTTTCAGATGAGAAACTGAAAGGAGGGACAGGACCCTTGACCGGGTCACATTTTTGTCCAAGAACCAGGCGCGGAATGTGCGCGCTGGCTCTGCCTGCCGAGGTCTGACCGGCGGCGGCCAGCGGCTCTGCAGTGCCAGCCCATGAAGGCGGGGGCTCGGCCTCGGCCCCCGCTTTCTTCTCAGTTGGAGAGGCAGTGGGAGAACCAATTTAAAATTAGAAATGACAGGAATACACGGGGCAGGTCCGGCAGCGGTGACAGAACGCAGGCCGGGTGCTTCAGCACGGGCCGGCCCAGACCCACGAGCAACCCCACAACTGCGGGCTCCACTGAGTCCCGACACGGCCCGCGGACTCAGCTCTGCCGGGAGCCAGGGGGGAAGGCAGCAGCCACCCACAAGGGGCTGAAAGAACAGGCGCGGGCCCGGCAAAGGCCCTGGGGCCAGGATCAAAGCCCAGCGAGGCACGGCAGTGGGGCCGGTCCAAGGCAAAGCCAACGGAAGAGGGGGACGGGACCTTCCCCGGCCAGCACACGCTGCTGCTGGCAGGGCTCCCGTGGCACACGGGCCACCGCGCTGGCTGCAGACTCCCGCAGGCCCCTGCTCCCCCCGTCCTTCCAGACCCAGGTCTGAGGACCGCGACTCTGGGAGAGCTGGACTGCGCCTGACACTCACCTTCCGGTTTGTCGCCGGCCGCCGGCCTCCAGTTCCTGCAGCTCAGGCAGGGCGTCCCTCAGGGGGTGCAGGTCCCCCACGACCACCGTGGCCCTGCGTTTCCGCTCTTCTCTCAGCTTCTTCTCAGCCAACTTTATGGCTTCAATTTCTAAGGCAGATGAGACAGGTCAGAGACAGAAGCAAATGCCAAGTCCCAGATGCGTGACCCTGAGGCCGCAGGCCAGCAGCGACAGCTGATGGAGGAGGCGTGGCCTGGTGCCACAGGCCGGGCTGGCCCCCCACCTCTTCCCTGCACAGCAGGCGGTGCTCTCGGCTCCGCTGTCACCTGCACTCTGCCCCGGGAGACCTGGGGGTGGGCGGCTGGCTCCAGTTCTTTTCTGTCCTTAATCACAGAGGCACGCTTTAATTACAGGCTGACACTGAGATGGAGCTGTGGCTCCCAGGAAGCTTCCGGCTCCGAGGGCCAGCACGGCAGCTCGAGGGGGTCCTGGGCTCACACGGCGTGTCACGCACTGGACACCAGTCTCGGTCCCCACCAATCAGACCACAGGGCACCTCCACGGGACTACTGACGTGGGGGGGTAGACGGCTACCAGGCAGAGTGGGTGGCGGGTCACACAGCCTAGGGGCGGGGGCTGGGCTTTCAGAGGGGGAAGCCACGGCTTCCATAATGGAGAAGGGACTGCAGGATATGGCTACAGCCCTGGGTCCATTTCCACCCAAGAAAGTACTGATTCGGCCTGGGAATTCAGTGTCAAACACGCTTTCTACCCGTGTGAGGCTCATGGTGAGCACCTTGCTCTTCCAGGTCCTCAGAGTAGGGCAAAGCCCTGGGTCTCCCGTGAGCAGCCCTGGGCAGAGCCAACACCGCCACAGGAGGGCGCCTCTGAGCCCAGTGCCCTCCCAGGCACCACAGGGCCTCCCAGGTAGCTATAACCAACCTCTCAAGCCAGGCCACCAGGGAGGCCTCAGAGCCACATCGGCCCACCCTGGGGAGGCCCCCGAGGACAGAGAGCTCTCTTCCACCCACCCGGGACGGCCCTGCCTGGACCGTGACAATTGACTAGCATTCTTCATCTCCCCAAAGAGCAAGAGCGCTCGAGGGTGGGGAGGTGGGCTGGAGGCCCGAGGCCAGCTTCCTCACAGGCAAGAGGCAGGACACAGGAGGGGCAGGGGGAAGGAAGCCTGTCCCGGACTGACACAGGTGTGATATCCCGCTGTGACACAAGCTACAGCCCTTCAAGCACACATCCCATTTCCTAGCAATTCTCAGCCCCTGGTTATGAACTCAAGCGCAATCTCAGGACGCTCCACCTGGCCACTCAGTACTCAGAAACTCAGAGAAGAAACAGGCCTGGGTCGGGGTGGGTGGGTGGCCCACCGCCACGTCTGAGTGGCCCCAGAGGAAGCAGGGGTTTACCCATTCCCAGTGGATCCCGTATTGCAACAGAATTCTAAATCAAACCTGAGACTAATTCTAAATCAATCAATCACAAGCACGTACGCACGCATGTGAGTACACACACATCATTTTTTTGAATCAATGCATAAGAATGGCTAAAAACGCCAGGCATTGGTGGCTCACACCTATAATCCTAGCTATTCAGGAGGCTGAGATCTGAGGATCGGGGTTCAAAGCCAGCCCGGGCAGGTAAGTCCATGTGACTCTTATCTCCAATGAACTACCAGAAAATCAGAAGTGGTGTTGTGGCTCAAGTGGTAGTGCACTCGCCTTGAGCTGAAGAGCTGAGGGACAGCACCCAGGCCCAGAGTTCAGGACCCAAGACTAAAAAGAATGGCTAAAATCAAGCTGGGCACTGGTGGCTCATACCTGTAATCCTAGCTACTCAGGAGTCTGAGATCTGAGGATCAGCAGTAAAGTCCATGAGACTCTTCAATTAGCCAGTAAAAACCAGAAGTGGAGCTGTGGTAGTGCCAACCTTGGGAGAAAAACTAAAGGACAGTACCCAGTCCTGAGTTCAAGTCCTGGTACCGACAGAAAAAGTCTAAACAGCCAGGTGCAGTGGTACAAACCTGTAATGCCAGGTGAGAGGAAGAAATGGCAGAACTGAGACCACAGGCTAGCCCGGCCACCTCATCAAGCCGACGCCATGGTGCATGCTGCCATCACAGCTACAGGAGACAGGAAGGATCACAGGGACTGCCCCAGCAGAAAGTCCGCAGGACCCCATCCCAACCAACAAGCCAGAATGTTTATTCAAGCCTGTAATCCCAGTTAAGTGGGGGACATACACGGAAGGACCACAGTCCCAGGCTAGACCAAGGAAAAAGCAAGAAAGAGCTGGGGACGTGGTCGAGGGGCAGAGCCTACTCAGCAAGCGTCAGGCTTGGAGCTGGGGACGTGGTCGAGGGGCAGAGCCTACTCAGCAAGCGTCAGGCTTGGAGCTGGGGACGTGGTCGAGGGACAGAGCCTATTCAGCAAGCGTCAGGCTTGGAGCTGGGAACGTGGTCGAGGGACAGAGCCTACTCAGCAAGTGTCAGGCTTGGAGCTGGGGACGTGGTCGAGAGACAGAGCCTACTCAGCAAGTGCCAGGCTTGGAGCTGGGGACGTGGTCGAGAGACAGAGCCTATTCAGCAAGTGTCAGGCTTGGAGCTGGGGACGTGGTCGAGAGACAGAGCCTATTCAGCAAGTGTCAGGCTTGGAGCTGAAATCCCAATGCCACCAACCAGAAAAGGCAGAGCGTTCCTTGGCTTGCCAGCAGCCGCAGGTGGCTCACACCTCTGATCCCAGGTTCTGGGGAGGCGGGGAGCTAAGGGTCACAGTTCACAATCAGACTGGGCAGGAAAGGCCATGAGGATCTTATCTCCGCTTAAACACCAGAAAACTGGAAGTGGCGCTGTGGCTCAGGTGGAAGAGTGCTTAGCCTTGAGCAAAAGAGCTCAGGGACAGCGCCCAGGCCCTGAGTACAAGCCCCAGGACTGACTAAAAATAAACAGAGCTCTCAGCCAAACCAATGAATCACAAAGAAAATTGTGAAGAACCAAAATAAGACAGCAGAGGAGTTAGAGGAAAGCAGCAGCAGACCTGTGGCTGCCCCACCCCCCCAACACCTGAAGATTAATTACGTTTGAAGCGGTGCCCAGCCCAGACAGCACAGCCCTTTCGGAATCAAGGAAAAGAGAATGCTAACTGAAATACAACCTCTGGGTGCTACAGCACACGGGCAGCGTCCACGTTTGGCCATGCCCATGGAGGGAATAGACAGCAGCAGGGGCACTACATGCCATCCTCAGTTCTGGAGAAACACTGGTAGGGAAGCCAGTGAGTCTGTGTGGATTTCAAGGACCAGCATCTTGGGCACACATACCCAGGGGCAGAAAGACTGTGCCCAGATAGAGCTGGGCACTAAGGAGGTAGTGGACAGGCCCAGAGCACACAGGAACACTGAGGTCCTAGGAGTCAAAGAAACAATTAGATCTACGTAAGATCTAACAGCAATATCACAAGATGCACAGGTATTATTTACAGATCAGCTGTTCTGAAGATACAAGAGAGCTGGAAAACATGTGGACCAAAACACCAACAGGTTTGTAGGTTTGTCCAGAAGAAACTCTTCCAGGCGCAAACCACCACCAATGCTGAAGTGAAAAAACCCCACGAAAATAAAGCTGGGTGTCAAAGACTCACACCTGTCATATCACACAGCAGGCTAAGAGCAGAGAATCTAGCTCAAAGCTATCCTAGGCAGGAAAGTCTGGAGACTCTCATCTCCAATTCACCAACAAAAGCCAGAAATGGAGCTGTTGAACACTAGTGAGAGCTAAGGGACAGTGCCCAGGCCCTGAGGTCTAGCCCCAATTCTAGAATAACAACAACAGTGATATATAGGGCTGGGAATGTGGCTCAGTGGTAGAGTGCTTGCCAAGCATGCATGAAGCCCTGGGTTCCATTCCTCAGTACCACATAAATAAAAAAAGCCAGAAGTAGCGCTGTGGCTCAAGTAGTAGAGCACTAGCCTTGAGCAAAAGCAGCTCACGGACAGCGCCCAGGCCCTGAGTTCAAGCCCCAGGACTGGCCAAAAAAAAAAAAAAGTGATCTATACCATCTTCATGTGTTAAGATGGTAATTCTGAAATTGATCTATAGATTCAACACAATCCCATTCATGAGCCAAAAAAGAAACTGGTAAGCTGGTGGAAAAACTGATGGAAACTTTAAGAACTGAAGATGCTCAGGGTAACCTCAGGGCAGAGGGCCAAGATAGAGGACTTACCCTGCCACTTCCACACTTGGGAGGAAGCCTCACGTTCAAGACTCTGACCAGGGGCTGGGAAGGTGGCTCAGTGGTAGAGTGCTTGCCTTGCATGCATGAGGCCATGGGTTCGATTCCTTAGCACCACATAAGCAGAAAAAGCCAGAAGTGGCGCTGTGGCTCAAGTCGTAGAGCGCTAGCCTTGGGCTGAAGAGCTGAGGGATAGCGCCCAGGCCCAGCGTTCGGGCCCCATGACTGACAAAGAAGAAAAAAAAAAGGCACTGGTCAATGGGACAGAAAAGGCAAGAAGCAGACCTATACCATTGGCAGCACAATACCGGATGAAGCACAAACCGCCAGAACAAAGGTGTACCACACTGCAGAGGACCTGCATCCGTACGGAGGCCGACAGTCAGGACTGGCCACAGACCAAAGATAAAAGCAGAACTACATGTGCAGAAGGAACCAAGGGACTATCTCCATGATTTAGGAGTAGGCAAGGCTTTCTTAAACAGTGCATACACCATCACCATTTAAGAAACAGACTTCTCAAAATTAAACTCCTATGACTTAAAAAAAAGTCACGGTGTGCAGGGAATACCTGCACAGCACAGGGCTGAGATTCTCTGAAATGAGGGGAAAAGAGGCAAAAAGCCTTAGCAAGTGACCTCCACTGAAGAGGCAGCCAAGGGGACAGGAAGCGCGTGGCACCCGCCAGCAGTGCCCTTGAGGTACCAGCCCTGGGCCCCCAGCGGCAGGACTGCAGCCAGCAACCATCCGCAAGAACTCACACACACCTCACGGGGGCACAAATGCACAACCGCTTTAGCAATGTCTGGCAGCTGCTTACAAAACTAAACACACGCCTTCCCTATGACCAGCGTTCCATTCCTAAGTACTTACCCAAAGAGGAAAGAAAACATGGCCACAGAGAGAGAAGTGTTCACACAGCCTTGTTCGCGAGAGCCTAAATAGGTGCGGCCAGTGTGCATCAGAGATGGGTCGCTGTCCGGCATGAGCTGGCAGGCAGCGCTGTGCACCCGCGCGGCGGGGGCTCTACCGTGACGGTCACCACCGCCGAGCGGCTCGGGCAGCTCTGACACCCGCCAGAAACCACTACTCACTGGACACAAACAACCTCCAAGAGGAAAAGGAAACAAGGGCCCATAGACAAACTCACCCCTAGCCAAATTAGTTGGGGGGAAGTGTGCTGATGTCTGAAATCTATTTTGGAATGCACAAGTGTGATGGACGGACAGGAGGGGAGAGAGGGCCCTTCCTGGTAAGGAAACAGTGTTAGCGGCACAGGCAGCTAAAGCTGATCAAGGGCAGGTGACAGCACTCAATGCTCAAGAAAACATGACAGCCGGGCACTGGTGGCTCACGCCTGTAATCCTAGCTACTCAGGAGGCTGAGATCTGAGGATCTCGGTTCAAAGCCAGCCCGGGCAGGAAAGACCGTGAGACTCCTATCTCCAATAAACCACCAGAAAACCGGAAGTGGCGCTGTAGCTCAAGTGGTAGAGCGCTCGCCTTGAGCTGAAGAGCTGAGGGACAGCGCCCAGGCCCAGAGTTCAAGCCCCACGGCCGACCAAAAAAAAAGAAAAAAGAAAACATGACAACACAACAAACCTAGAGAGCCACAAGAGAGAGCCAGGAAGACAGAAGTAAGACAGAGTAAGACTGAGCATTAAAATCGAAAGAACTAGAACTGGAAAAGGTAAAAGTTAATTCAGCTAGCAAGAAATGGGGTGGGGAGAGAACAACTGTGAGAAAGCAGCACACAAGGCTGGCTGGCCAAGGTGGAGACGGGCACTCGGATGCTCACAGGGGACCGGAGGCAGGACTGGATGCGGGAATTAAGGCACCCCAAAGAATTACACCGCAGAAACATCAGGGCTGACCAGCCACCACCCACTTACTTTTGAGATCTGTCTCACAGAAAATACTTCACACAACCCCACGCTAGGAATGGTAAAAAGGAAACGAGGTAACCATTTCTTAGGAAACATCAAAAAAAAAAAACAACCCATGTCTGACAGAACAGGAAGTAATCACCATGAAAGAAATGGACACATTATCTCTGAGATCTGTCTCCAAAACATATCCTTTGGTGCTGGACGTGGTACCCATGTCTTTAATCTCCCAGAAAGCAAGATTTGGGCCAGGTACCAGTAGCTCACACCTATAATCCTTGTTACTCAGGGGGCTGAGATCTAAGGATCATGGTGTAAAGCCAGCTTGGGCAAGAAAAGTCCTTGAGACTCTTATCTCCAATGAACCACCAGAAAATGGCAAGTGGCACTGTGGCTCAAATGGTAAAACACTAGCCTTGAGCTGAAGAGCAGAGGGACAGTGCCCAGGCCCAGAGTTCAAGCCCCACGACCAACAAAAAAAAAAAAAAAAAGAAAGATTTGAGATGATTACTGCCCAAGGTCAGCGAAGGCATAAACTCAAGATTTATCCGAAAACAAATTAAAGCAAAAGGAGCCAGGTGTGTGGCTCAAGTGGTAGAGTATTTACTTTAGCAAGTCCAAGGCTCTGAGTTCAAACTCAGCACCATAAAAATAAAAACAAATTAACATTTTGTTTAGTCATCAAGACAAAATATAATGCAAGTTACATTTCAACATGTGAGAACATTAAGATGAAAATGTTACTAAGTAATTTCAGTCAGCAGAAGTACCCTAAAAAGATAAGAACGAGAACAAAATTAGGTTTAATGTAAACACAAAATCTTTTTTAAAAATCAGCAAATACTTAGCACTATAAAAAATAACGCACATTCCAAAATAAAAGGGGTGAGAGGAGAGGCACTCAGCCAGAACATGATCGGCTCCAAGCCTGGGGCACAGCTCAGCTTCAGGCAGGAGGGCCACAGGCCCTTGCCAAGCACACGGCTGACCCAGAAGGGCTGTCTACCTCTCCAGACCTGCACACCACCTCTGTAATTAAAAACCCTCCCAGGGGTACCCGAGGCTCACACCTTTAATCCTGGCTACTTAGGAGGCTGAGATCTAAGGATCATGGTTTGAAGATAACAGGCAGGAAAGTCCTTGAGACCCCATCACCAACTAACTAGCAAAAAAAAAAAAAAAAACTGACCAGAAGTGTGGCTCACGTGGAAGATACTGAGTTCAACCTCAGTATCAGAATACACAAAAGAATCTCACCTTGGGGGCAAAACCCCGCCCTTTTAATCCAAAGGGACAGAAAACCAGCTGCTTTGGTCTGCAAGGGAGGAGGAAGCGCAGGCCTTGCCGAGGCTCAGCTGGTGGGTCGGGCTGTGCTGCCCACGCTGGGAAACAGGCCACCCGGTGGTGCCGCGTCCTCCCCAGCAGAGAGCCGCCGCCAAGTGTGGCCTTTGTCAGGGCGCCCGTGAACTAGGGCCAGGACCGATGGCCCCCGGAGGGAACCCCGGCCTGTGGGTGAGAGCGGCCAGCACAGATGCCCTGCAGATGAGGGCACAAACTTACTCTGCAGCCATCGTTCACGCCGCAGCCTCAGTTTCTCCTTCTTAGGCAAGATGGCCTTTGCCTCCAAACCTGAGGAGAGAGCATACGAGTGAGAAGTGAGCATCCAGATAGAGCTGCTGCTCTGAAGGACAACAGCCCGCAGCCAGGGCTGCGCTGGGCCCCGCGGGGCCAGGCGGGCAGTTCTGACGGCGCAGCAAGGTGGCAGCCAATTTAGGCCGGGGGCTGCCGCAGGCTTGGCAGAGCCCCGGGGACGCAGTCCTGCCGGTGCGTGTCGGGAGGATGAGCACACCAAGGTGTGTGCTGGGCCCGCTGGACACCGGGACCTCACAGCCTCAGGGCGGCCTCAGGCCCACACCTAAGGGACGGCAGGGCTGAAGAGACCCCGCTACGGAACAGACCCTGCATGAAGGACCAAGAGGACACAACCTGGACAAGTACAGAGAGACAGAGCAGCAGCTGGGCCAAAGCAGCAACACAGCCCCCACCGCCGGTACCGCCAGGGGTAGAGCGCTGCCCGTGGTCTGGCACGGCCAGCACTACCCGCAGCCATCTCCAGGCAGTACTGCTCTGCAGAGCAGACGGGCTTTGGTAGGGAAGGCCTCTCTCCAGGGACCTCACCCAGACTCACGCTAGCAGAGCCAGCAGAGGGGGCGGGGCTGGAGAGAGCCTGAGGCATGGGGCCCGGCGCAGGTGGTGGGCAGCAGGGAGCGGCCTCTGCCCCACCGCCCTGGAATGGCCAGGCCACCTCTGTGCTGTGGTACCTCCCGGCCCAGCTTGGCTGGACAGCAGGACTGGAGGGTGGCCCTCAGTCCAGAGAGTAAAGAGGAGCTGGTGGAGCAGAGCCCCCCCCTCCAGCCCTGCAGTGAGGGCGGAGCGGGCCTCGCCGTGCCACCGTCATGCTGTGGGAGGTTGCTCGGTACCAGGAGCGGGTGAAGGCACTCTCTCTAGTGGGCGTGTGGTAGAGCAACTGCCTGACAGCACAGATGCACTCTGAGTTCAGGTGCACCGATGGGAAAACCAGAACAGAACACCCTCGGCAGCAAAGACCTGTGTGAGCGCACGGCGGTGTGCACACGTGTATGTGTAGACACCAGGCTTGGTGGTGCGTGTCATCCCAGCACTCAAGAAGAGGAGGATCCAGTTCAAAGCCAGTCTCAACTAAGTGGGAGATCCTAGTAAGTGAAAAACCAAAACAAAATCGAGAAGAATCAGACAAGGTGACATCTCTATAACCACAGTTCCTCAGGAGGCAGACATGAGATTCACAAGATTGAGGCCAGCCCAGGCAAAACAGTAATGAGATTGTCTTAAAAGCAAAATAGAAACCAACAGAAAGTGCTGGGGGCATAGATCAAGTAGGAGAGTGCCCGCCTGGAATCCAGTACCATCAAAAACCAAGAGAAAACCAGAAGCGTAAGATACACCCAAACAGTAACTACTATCACCACAAATTACACAAACAAATTTGAAAGGACGCACCTTGGAGAGAAAGGGGAGCATACAGCTCAGAGGGAGATGAATCTGGTCATACAACCCTCTGTCCAGCGTGAGGCCAGGGCCCGCGTGGGGCTGGTGGCAGGCAGGCTCTCGGCTCCAACGCCTGGCCTTGGCCCGGGCAGCATCGCTGGTGTCTTAGATGGGTGCACCGGTGACTTGTGATCCCCAGCCATGGTGTGGCACCAGTGTGCTCCGGTTCACAAGCTTGCTGAATGTTATAATTCTGTCATGGGACAAAACCTCAGCAGCCCCAACACGGAAGTGCCGATGTGGCAAGGTGCTCCCCGAGAACACCAAAGGCAAGGACGGAGGCACTCCTGTGTGAGGAGGGGCGGGGTGGGGACACACACCTGCCCGAGGTAGGGAGGGACAGAGACAGGAGTCACCTAAGCACACTGGGTCACACTCCAGGAGCTCAGTGAGACCAGAGGTTCAGGAGGAGGGCAGGGACAAGCGGTTACCTCGGAGGGCACAGGAGAGCCTGGACATGTGGACCCACCTAGCCCCAGCAATGCATTTTCTCAGACTCGCCTACCACACTTTCCTGCCCAGTTCTATCTTCAGTCTGTCTAGACTGCACGTGCTACCACGGCCCTAGCTGCCACTCCCATCCTGCGTCCCGTCTGGTTGGAGCCACTTTGCGGATGGATGGAAGCTGGGCCTTGCACAAGCTAACCCTCCCTCATTTTTCTGTAAAGTAAGTAAACACACACAGTGCTGTATCTGTATTACCAGCCATCCCAGTGAAACGCTGACTCTGAAGTAGTTGCTTCCATCTATCTCTGTTTACTTTTAGGGATCGCTAAAGTGTTGAGCAAGCACTGGACTGGCTCTGGACGGCCGAGGAGGAAAACCGCCTCTCATGATGAGCTGTCAGGCCTCCCACACCATGCCGCACATCTAAAGGGCCATGCCAAACCCTGCAGCGGCCCGTGACAGGAGACACTGTGTAGTTAGGCCCCACAGGCATTTTCCAGAGTTGGCAAGGCCAAGTCCCAGTAGCTGAGGGGCTGCTGGGAGCCCCTCCTCTCCTCCGCCCTCCTCTCCCACAGGAGCCTGGCTGGCTTCCCCGCCAGCCGTCCAGAGACCTGGGACAGGGTGCAGAAAAGGCCCAGACCCTCCTCCTTGCGGGGCCAAGATGGAGTAAGCCGCGCGACTCACGCCGTGTTCACACCAGCACCCAGCCTTTCTGTGGGATGAACCCCTGGCTGTTCCCCAAGTTCCTCAAGCCCCAACTGGCCCCCATCGCCCCACCCACCCATGGCGGGGCCAGTCCCACACAGAAGCAGCCTCTCTGGCCATAGAGGGGCTGCCCCATTTCCCCTGCAGTTCACCCCAAGACACAAGAGTCCCACAGGACAGGCACCCTGCAAACCAAGAGCCAACACAAAGAAGGGAAGGCTGACTCAAACCCCCAGACAGACCCAACACCTGTGTGGCCGCCCCAAGTGAGCGCAGCCCACGGGAACCCCCAGGATTCCTCAGCAGCACAGTAAGAGACCAAGACCGCGAGCTGGCTTCCCCCTGAGGAGGCCAGGACCACGAAGCTCAGCGAGTTTGGGAGGCCTCCACCAGCGGTCAAGGCCTGACAAGCTAAGTGGTGCAGCCGCCCAGGTCCAGAGCAGCTCACATCCTCCCCGGGGAGGGTATGAGGTGCTGAAACACAAAGCAAGTGCAGGCCACAGGCATGGACGTCCATGGCTTCCACCGGCTCAGGTTCAGACTGCCCCGGCTTGCAGGCGAGGAGCACTTCCACGGCTCAGGCTCAGATAGCCCTGGCTTGTGAGCGAGGAGCACTTCACCAGCTCAGGCTCAGACTGCCCCGGCTTGCAGGTGAGGAACACTTCCACAGACTCAGGCTCGGACTGCCCTGGCTTGCGGGTGAGGAGCACTTCACCAGCTCAGGCTCAGACTGCCCTGGCTTGTGAGCGAGGAGCATTTCCACAGACTCAGGCTCGGACTGCCCCGGCTTGCGGGCGAGGAGCACTTCCACAGCTCAGGCTCAGACAGCCCCGGCTTGCGGGCGAGGAGCACTTCCACAGCTCAGGCTCAGACAGCCCCGGCTTGCGGGCGAGGAACACTTCCATGCCCCGAGCTGGGCCGCACTCTGCAGCAGACTGCCACTTTCTACTGTGACGGGAACCTGAGGTGCCGCTCAGACCTTGGGGCCTGGTCTAAGTGGGCCCTCACAAAGTCCTTCAAGGCCTGCCCGCCCCCATCTGAACCCAGCCTGTGGCTAGGGCAGGCTGCAGGACGGGTGAAATCACTGCATCCCCCGACCCTGGCGTCATCAACAGCGGCCAGCAATGAACTTCAGGGGACGAAGCCAGCCATGTGGCCAGGTGCCCCCTGGGACCCCCGCCTCCCCCGGCAGGGTCAGCTCTGAGGGCGCAGAACACTCCAGGATGGCCCATTGTGGCAGGTTCTGCGCGGGCGCCTCCACGTGGGAATGTCCCGAGAGAGGCAGCAGGGTCAAGCGGAGCCCGTCAGGCTCAGGACAGGGCTGGACAGCGGGGTGGAGGCACAGCTGCACATGGCAACCCTCAGGAGCCCCGCCCCCGGCCGCCCGCCCCCACCTCCACGGCCGGGACAGACGCTGCCAGCCAGACTCCACAAACAGCAGAAATATGCCGAGGACCAAAATAATCCTAGGCACCAGAACTAGAGTGCCAGGCCCAGGAACAGCAACACACACTCTCAGACGACACGTTCTCGCCTGTCTTCCCCCAGGGGGTGGGTGTCCAAACAAGGGAGGGATCTCAACGTTCACCTGGTGGCAGGCTGAGCTGCCATCCCTGGGGAGGGCAGCACTAACGAGCCTGGGCTTCCACACCACCGGCGGGCCCCATGTTCCTGCAGGGCTGCCTGGGCCCTGGCAGCCCCCGGAGGGGAGGAAGGCCGTCCTCTGGCATGTCCTTCCACTGCTGGAGAGTAAGACTCCAACTTGCAACTTGAATCCAGCGTGAGCTCGCTCCTCCGTGCTCTCAGATGTGCTGTTCTAGGACGGGGGAGGGTCACCTTCACAGGGGCACCCCGCCAGCCTCTGCACCCACAGCTCTACAAGGACAAACTCCTGGGCACCTGGTGGATGAAGGCAGTGGCCACAGGGAGTGTCAGGCCACCAGAAAGGTGGTGCCAGAACCCAGCCTCTGGCTACCGATCCCATCTGTACACTAATCGGCTATACCACAGAAGAACTGGAAATGCTGTGGGAGGACCACACAGGAACCTCTGGGCTAGACTGGCCGTGCCTGCCCGTCTCTGGTGTCTCCACAAGGTTTTCTCAAAAGAACGCCGTCCTAAACCAAAACGTCCCCTATGACCATTAACAGACAGCGGAGGACACGTGCAGGCACGGAGGAAACAAGGCCACGCTGTGGAGCAGCCACACCGCAGTGACAAGGACCCGGACACCTGTGCCCACAGGGGTCCACCTAATGCCTCTGCCTGGGTTAAGTTTGGGAAGAACATGATCGACAAGGTTTACATCTTGACGACCTGCTCACACCCCTGGGCTCTACGGTGTGAAGAGCTGGCTTCCAGCAGCAGCCCCTGAGCCCCTCTATCCCCCA